GGAGTGGGAGGGCCTCGGCCACGCATGCGCCACCCCCTGCCCGCCCCACACCGCGGCCATGCTCCGCCCCGCGCCCGCCCCCGGCCCCGGTACGGCACACCGCCCTGCTTAGCGACTGAACGGCATCGGCCCGCGTGGTAATGCTCAGATTTTTACAGGATTTTTGTCAATGACGTTGCGACGGCAGGCAGTGATGCCCTTACCCTGCGCCTGTCACGCAGCACCGAGTGTGAGTGTGTGAGAGAGAGGGGGGGCTCGGTCATCCCCTCCCCCCACCCTCTCCCTCTCACCCACTATCGTACAGTTCAACTACGCCCCTGCCCGGTGCCCGTCAGTCACCCAGTAAATCATAGCAGGCGCCCCACGACCTCAGCCTCGCCGCTCACCTCCGTGTCGCGCTCAGACAGGGTCGACTAGTTCAGCTTCGCTAATGACTCTCCAGCCTGTCACGTGCAATTTTTCGACGAGCCGCAAAACGCGAAGCCGAGCGCGCGCGCGCCCTCTTTGGGGGCCGTGCTTGGTGCGAGGGACCGCAAGAGGGGCGGCGGGGGCAGGGCGTTCCCTCGAACTTAGTAGATGTAGAGAACCGCCTCGAGAGACCCCGCTGCTCGCGCTTGCTTGGGCTCGCGCACACGGCGTGCTCGCTCTCTGTCTCTCCGAGTCCTCGGCAGTCAAATTCAACGGGGAGAGAGTCTCTCGAGAAAGTCTTCTTTTTGCCTCTCTCCCGCTCTGAGACGTAAGCCTCCTCTATCTCTCTCTCCCTCTTCCTTTCATCCCCCCGCGCCTGCCTCGCCTCGGCCGGGGCATCTATCAGCCCTGCGCCACGCCACGCCACGTCCGCCTTCTGATGACGGCCGGTCCCAAGTGTCCCTCATCCTCATTCCGGCCGCTCTCCTCTGGCTCCTCCTCTCCTCCTGGATGGCGCCGAGCTTGAGGTCGGCCAGGGCACGGCACCACCGCCGCTCCTCTCGCGGCACATTATTCTGAATCAAGCCCTCGGAACGTGTCTAAAATATTTATGGCGCGCCTTCTCACGGTTCTGTTCTCTTCAAACAAGAAGAGCAGCAAGTAAGTGAAACCGGGGAGATGGGGGGGAGGGGGGAAGCAAGGAGGTGGATGGGGGTGAAGGACACACCGCAATATCCACCCGCCGGGGCCCAGCATAGCCTTGAACAAGCAGCATATCGCAAGGGAAAGCGCCCGACGCGCACACGCACACACAGCTATGAAGCGAAATTGCACTACCGACCGACCAGGGGGCAAAAATAGAAATAAGCGAGGAAAGCAGCGCACGAGGAAAAAATGAATGAACAGAAATTTCGACTCTTAATTATCTTATTTGTTTGAAAGTTCGTGATTTTTATTGTACTATTTTTTGCCGTGCGCGTGCAACGCGGAATTAAAACTTCGAAAGAGTCTTTGGAAAAGTAAAGAAAAGCACAGGGAATTCCCCTTCACCTCGAGTCCGCAAAGCTGTGCACCCAGGTAGAACACGTTTGTCAAAATGATGTCAGAATGACCTCATTTTGACGCTCATCGTCAAGATTTACTGCGGCTAGGCAGACAGATTGAGCTCATTTTGACGTCAAAAGAGGGTCATTGACGAGTTTTTGACGATTGTGTTCTACCTGGGCACCTTTTCCCTCGGCCCGAGCGAGCAGGTGACGCGACACACCCTCCTCCTCCTCCTTCCTCCGTTCCGGATACGCGGGTTCTTGTTTTCACGCCTGTTACGTAATGCAGTTGATGTTGTGACGGTGTAATGCACGCGTGTAATTCATCTTTGCGCTTCGTTAGTTCTGGGCCGGGGGGAAGGGAGAGGGAGAGGGGGTGCGGCTTCACCTACCCCCCGCCAGCGCGCTTTACAAAACACCGCGGGGAATACTAAAACACTCGACAACACAATGCTCCCCCACCCTGCCTCCCTCTCCCTCTCCGACTGGCTGCTGCGTTCTCCTTTGCTCCCTCGCCCAGCACGGGCCCGTCTCCGTCTCTCCCGCTCCCCTCTCTCCTTTGACTCGGTCGTTTTGATGGATTAACTCAACGCGTGTTCCCCCTCGCCCTTGCACCCCCTCCCCCTCCATCCCCCGCAGCAGTACTTTGTTTTCGCCGTCTCTCACTCACTCACTCTCTCTCCCTCCCACGCGTTCACTCCATCTGTCGGTGGCTGGTGTAACGCTGGTTCCCCGTGATAAAGTACCGGGAATAAAACCGTCCTCTCTGACTTATCTATGTATATCTGCCACGGGCTGGGCCGGTGGTCCTTCCCTTCCCAGCGCTCGCCGCCGCCGGGGCCGGGGAGTGCAGGCAACACGCTGTGCAGCCACAGCTCAAGTCGGCACGAGGGCGGGCAACGTCCTCTGAAGCATTCAAGGGAATTCCGAGAGAGTTTTCCCGCAAGAAGACTGTCACTAGAATTGAAAACACAATTTCTGGTTTATATGTACATAAGACTTATATTATTTAGAATTTGTACACACACAAGTTTAGAACAGATTTTTCTTTTTGATCACAGAACACAGTAGATAAAAATTTGGCCGATTAAATCATGCGACATCCATGTCTATGCTGGATAGATCAATGTCTCCTCCCCAAACATCCTCTTCCACCTTTTCTTGTTTAACAGGTTTGGGTTTTGAAGGATAGTTATTTGGTTGACTGTGCTGGCTGTTTTGGCTCATGGCTGAAAAACAAAAACAAATAGCATATTGGCACAAAAAAAAATGAATGTCAAAGATATTCCTGTCAAAAAAAGAGAATGAAACAAAGAAAAGAAGATAGACTAATTTAAAAATGCTTACGTTCTTGCTTGATAGCTGGTCTATTCCCGAGAGCAACCTGACTTTCTTCAAAATACTGGTTTGGATGTTGGATTCCATTTGATGGCTTTCCGTGGGTCGCCTCAAAGTACTTGCCACATGCCACTTGATAGTGGTTTCCTTTGACAAGTTCAGAAATTTCTCCCACATCTGAAGGAAGAAAACAAATTACTAAAGCACAACTAATTTACCGAAAGTGATAAAAAAGTGCAATTTGGCAGAGAATATGCAACCATAGAAAATGTGTGAACAGGTCAGGTATCTTACACTGGCTTGAAATTCCATAAGCTTGCAGTTTATTTGCCAAAATTTTAACATCAGAGTGCTTGAACGGACACCCATGATGATCTCCAGGACCAACACTAGAGCAGATGATTTTCATACAGCTGTAAGGGGTATAGTTAGTACGTTTACCCTCTTGACCATAATTATAGCGAACATTGTACGCATGTTCCTTTTCAAACTGTGTCATAAAAGCAAAAAATAATTAAAAATTATCGCCAAAACGGTCAAATTGTTAAAATCAGTAGATGGGATACACCAAAACTATTTGTCAAACTCACCTTATCTACATCCATGATTCTAGTGAACTCCTCCCGCCAGAAACGCATGGCATCTTGTAATGAAACACCAATTCCTTTAAGGAACAAGCCATACTGCAGCCGACCAAAGTGCCTAAGGTGGTGATGAGTACGGAGTGCCTCATGTAGAAATCTCATACATAATGGGTATGAAGCCCTAGCATGCTTTAAAAATAGGGTTTTTTTTAGAATTGAGATTTATTGAAAGAAAGAAAAAAAGTGAAAAGAATATCTTACCTTATCCAAGTCCTCAATACATATTTCCCCACCTTTGGGTGTTTTGAAGTCCTCTCCCACATAACTTGTATGCAGGCCCTTAAGTAGGGGCACTAATCTTTCATCATCAACATTGGGGAGTCTTCGGTACGTCATCTAAGAATACAACCAACCAAGGTTTTTAAAAGAAAAGCGCACACGGACACACACACACAACAAAAAACAAAAAAACAAAAAACCAAACCCAAAAAGCACAAAAATAAAACGGGTTTTAAAAAGATGCAAAGGAGTAGAATATTAAATGGAATACCATTAAAGCTTGGCCTAAAGTTGCCCGGTAGACTGACGACATGACCGCAACAAACTCAGAACTTGGAATGTAAGCATATCCAGCTTGCACAAAGACTTTGCGCGATCTTACAAGTTCTAAAACATCTGTGAAGGGAACACGGAAAAAGTCTTTTTCTGAGAGAAGTGCAGTGGAACCATACGTTGATTCATACAATGATGGCATTATGGCATCCTTTTCTTCTGCGGATATCTGCAAGCCATCACATAGTTAATATTTGTTTCTATTCATTGAGATATAAAAAATATGGAGCAGAAGCAAACATATTCTTGAGTCAAAACGAAAATTACTCACAGGAGAATAGCTAAGGTTGTTCATGTTCAAAAACTCACGAATTTCGTCAGCATTCAATGACATAAAACGTAATTTAAAAAGTTCCAGTTCTCGGGCAATAAACCAACGTCGCAGCTCATCTGATCGGCAATATGCTAATCTCAAAATAAAATGCGAAAGGTGGTCCTTTTTACGATACTGAAGTTCTGCATCAGTTTGCTTGCATGTGGGGGCAGTACTCTAAAATTTGTGAGATTCATATTCGTTCAATACATTAAAAAAATTGGTTACTCAAATAATAATCACCAATTTTGCATAACTAATTACACTCACCATTTTGTAAAAGTTCTTGAGTCCTTGCTTGGTCATTTCTTCACAAAGAGATGCTTTCCATTCATCAGAAAATTTGTTTGCACCCTTCAAATTAACAAGTTCCAAACACCGCAACACTGCAAGATTTAATAATAATAATAACTTGTAACAGTTTTATGTCTCAGTACATTCATTGTCAGGAAATAAAAATCTATTAGAAACTTGCCTTTTAACCTCTCCAAGGCCAAATCTTCAAATTCTGACAAAGAAATTTCAGTTATCGGAGGTATGTAATACATTTGCAAATTGTGGGGATAAAGCTCAGCCAAGCTACCGGCTACGACTTTCGTGACTTTCCTCCGCCGTGATATGTCCATTTCACTATTTAAAAACACAAAGAAAATTTTATTTGATAAAATGTTATTTAATTTGATTTGGAATGAACAAGATAAACTTTGTACCAAGGTTAGTTTGAGCCGGTGTGGAAAAAAGAAGTAAAAGCTGAAAAGAAAAATATTCTTTTGAAAAGATGGATGGACAAATAGCACAAATAACCACGTTCAAACTAAGAATATTCATCGACAAAATCAAACTTTCCACAGAAGAAATATTCAACAAACCATAAAACAAACATACACTGTCAACCACTATAGAAGGGCCTCTTTCCCGCCAAATAGTAAGGAAAAAAACCTCCAGGAAGCTAACAGCAGAAAAAATTAAATCTTTTTCTCACACAGTATATTTATAACTGAATGAAAGAAAAAGAATTCTCCAAAACGATACAAAAACATTTTTTTGAAATGATTTTTGTTTCAGTGTCTACTTTAGTGATTTTTTCTTGATGTCTTGTCGCTACGTAGACGCTAATTCATTTTGCAGCAGTTGGCCTTTCCGATTCCATTTTAGGGCCTTCTATCATGTGTATTTTACAGCTTGGATCTAACTTGGATCAAACGTCTCGCTAGAAGGCAGCTAGTAGGATGCGGTGATGAATGGCGATGCATCCGTCTGGTTTTTCATTCAGTGAAAATGCGACTTCGTACAGTGAGGTGAAATGTGTTCGAGCGCTGTGACAAGAGTGTGTTGTTATTTACATCGCTGCTCCAGATGTGTTGTTTGAGTGTCTCCATCATCGCAAGTTTTGAACAAAATAGGCCTAATCCGTGCTCGGGCTATACTAGATTTCATAATGGCTGCAAATAGAAACCGAGCCACTCAACACAAAAATATATCTTCTATTTTGTCAAAATTGCACGGCGCATTTGCGGATGCAATGGCGCCTCCTAAGTTAGCGACGGACAAGAGAACTTTGGACAAAACATGGAAACTTATGGACAAAGTGGTGAAACTCTGTCAACATCAGAAGATGAACTTGAAGAATTCTCCTCCCTTCATTTTGGACATTTTACCAGATACGTACCAACGGCTTAGATTAATTTATTCCAAATACGAAGACAAAATGATTGTGCTTCACAGTAATGAACATTTTAATGTGTTCATTGTAAATTTAATGAGAAAATGTAAGCAAGCCATAAAGCTGTTTAAAGAAGGAAAAGATAAAATGTTTGACGAAAATTCACACTACAGAAGGAATTTAACCAAATTGAGCCTTGTATTCAGTCATATGTTGAGTGAGCTCAAAGCCATCTTCCCTAATGGTACATTTGCTGGTGACCAATTTAGAATTACTAAGAGCGACGCAGCCGATTTTTGGAAAAGCAACTTTGGGAACAGGTAAGGTTATGTTACCTACAGCACTTTCTCTTCTCCAGGCACTCCTGAAATTTTACAAATTTTAATTTATTCTTTTCTATGTGACCACACTCTTCAACCATAAATTATTGTATAATATATCATCCAGTAAACCATACAGTAAAAATGATTCTATTTTCTATATACTTTTACAATTTGTCATTTATATGTCAATTATAAAAATTACCCCAATTTTTAAATATAATGTCTATCTGTTGTATAATGTGATCTCTCGGCATTTACTTATCTTCTAATTGTGTAGAGCTCTGCAACCTCCTACACTGTGGATAAAGATGCAAATCTTTTTTCTTTGGAAATGTCCCATTGCTCATCACCATTCCCTTTTATGCCCCAGTCACATCCTGAATAAACTCCTTATCAGTTCCTGTTGGAGAGTGTCAGTGTCTAATTGAGTCATATTAGTGCTGTGTTGACAGTGAGTCAACTTCCTAGCCTTGGATGCAGGGCAGTAGTATTGAATAATGCGTGTTTTGCTTCGCACATTAATGACATATATTCTTTCAGCACCCTGGTTCCGTGGAAGATTTTTCGGCAGGCTTTAAATGAAGTGCATTCTATCAGCTCTGGATTAGAGGCAATGGCTTTAAAGTCTACTATTGACCTTACATGTAATGACTATATCTCAAACTTTGAATTTGATGTATTTACAAGGTAAACAATTTTGAAATTATTCTTTGGTAGTTGTGCTTTAAAAGTGTTCGATATCCTTATCCACCTTGTTCTCTTGGCTTTTTGTTTCACAGGCTATTTCAGCCATGGACTACTTTATTAAGAAACTGGCAGATACTTGCGGTTACTCATCCGGGCTATGTTGCATTCCTAACATACGATGAAGTGAAAGCAAGACTTCAAAAATATATCAATAAACCTGGCAGCTACATGTTCCGTTTGAGTTGCACTCGTCTTGGACAGTGGGCAATTGGATATGTCACAGCTGATGGAGACATATTACAAACAATTCCACAAAATAAGTCACTTTGTCAAGCACTTTTAGATGGATACAGGGAGGGATTGTTAGTATCAGATCCTAATCAATTCAACAATGATGCAATATTCTCCTTGTCTTTCATTGAGTTAATTTGTCTTTCATTCACAGTTACCTGTATCCTGATGGCCGCAATGTGAACCCTGACCTTTCATGGGCTGTGCAACCCACCCCTGAAGACCACATTGCTGTCACTCAAGAACAATATGAGCTTTATTGTGAAATGGGCTCTACATTCCAGCTCTGTAAAATTTGTGCAGAGAATGACAAAGACATTCGCATTGAACCATGTGGTCATTTACTTTGCACACCATGTCTGACATCATGGCAGGTTTGTATACTGATGATGGTTAAGAGTTCATTCAATGCTTTATATGATCCTAAAATGCTATCTGCACTTCATTTCACAGGACTCTGAAGGTCAGGGCTGCCCATTCTGTCGAGCAGAAATTAAAGGCACAGAACAGATTGTTGTGGACCCATTTGATCCAAAACACCAGCACAAGGCTAGCTCTTTTAAACAAGTAGTCGACTTAGATGATGATGATGGAGATACATCAGAATAGCAATTGGCCTCCGCTGCCGCCCTAGTTGATGCCGCCTTGTCTTCATCCCTTCCCCTTGAACCTCCACCACGGCCCCCACGAACTGATGCTTCTCCATGCCCACCCCGTCCTCCAAGGTACGGGCGACCACCGCGACCTCCAAGACCTCCTCGGCTACTTCTGCCTAAGTCTTAGAAATAGAAGCAGTCTTTGGTGGCCCATATCCTCCTACTACAGAAGCAATAAGGTTCTAGTTTCGTTGTATAGAATTTTTACATTATCTGTTTGAAGTTTATTTCCAAGTTACCTCGTGCACTTGTGTATCAGGCTGGGCCTGATATTTCTTGTTATAGCCGTAACAATGCTAGGCTGGACCTAGCCATGCTTCTTCATAATAATCTTTGCTGTTGATCCCTTTCATGTAGAGTATGGTCTATATTTTTTATTATTGAAATTAGACGTGGAATATACCACATCACAATTTTTAAGTGCACAAGGTTACCTTGGGTTAAACTATTGAACTCCTATTCAATTTCCACTTCTAAATTTCATAACATTGTAAATTTTATCAGAAAAATGATGGAAATAAATCAGTAATTGCATCATTTTTTCTGATATCAGTACTGATCAATTCAACATCACTGACTCATACCTAGTGGTAAAATGAGCGACATATATGTATAATATGGAACTGTTAATTTCCTCACAGTGGACACTCGAAGACTTATTTGTGTTGTTCTGTGACATCACCTGTGTAATATTTTTTGTTTTCTATGGCTTATCAAGTTTTGTTCAGTTTCATTGTTTGTAACAAACTTTGTACATTCATTATGTACTATTGTATTAATTTTGCTCTTATGTTTCCTGTTTTAATTTGTATTCTATTTTTGTTCAATATAGGTACTTTTCATATTTGTTTAGATTCTCAAAGGGAAGTATCACTGAGTCAGCAAATGTTCCGGCATTTGTGGTGTTGTTCAATGGGGTGACAGCGGCAGCGGCCCAGAGTTCCTCTTCAGATTCCTGGAGGTCATCTGATAGACAAACTATTGTTGTTGAAAATGTTTTGTGCTGAAATGTGTGATAGCAAGACTAAAAGACATTATACATCATGTGTATTCCAATGAAGAATGAGCAAGATGAAACTCCTCACTGTTGTGTAAATGTACCAACTCAATCATGTAAACTATTTGAAGTATTGAGAGTTGTACCTGTTTTTCATGCTTTTATATCTGACAGGTAGTAGATTTGTCAGACATGTAACTCTTAGGTATGAGAACAAGTTAGGTTAATTGCAATAGGAAAGTAATTGTAATAACTGTGCTCTCTTTACAATGTTGTTGGGTTCTATGAGTAGTCATTTTGTTTTTAGACTTCTAGAAATATTATGATGATTGGAATACTCTTTGGTGCAATGGCCCAAAGTCACTCATGTTAACATTTTTTTTCTCTATGCTTTGGCCCCCTTTCACGGGTTTCTGACTGTGTGAAAACTCACACATGTTTTAAAAACACTCTAATGCATAAACTTGTTTTATAATATATATTTACTTATGAGTTTTAATTTTGTTTGTTACGTTTCTTTTAGTTTTATGAGAATTTTTATAATGTGTTGGCTGTGGTATCATTCATGTAACTATGAAGAGGAATTTAAACCTAATCTTGCTTTTTAAATTTCCCATCACTCTTGCCATTAAATTGTATATTCTAACAGTGGAGGAGGGCCTTTTGTTATTCTTATTGCAGTTCCCATGTGTGACTCTGGTTGTCTTTGATTGATTGCCACTGCTAGCCTATCTTATTGCCAGATAGTACAATGAACTTGTAGGAGGGAAGACCATTTTAAATATTATAGAATGTGGTCTGACGTCTTTGAATGTCTAGCATGTTATTTATTAAATCAAACTCCAAGCTGTTCTTATAAAATCATATTTTTTATGCAATTTCTGTATGTGTATTTTAATTAATCTGTTAAATATATGTTTCTTACTCATAAATCATAAAAGTGACCAAAGAGCAGTTGTCGCTGCATTTGCATGGGAATAAGATGACTGTTTGATTTCTGTATCCTCTAAAAGAAATTAGTTTGTAATTCCTTGAAGCTGTGGTGAAGGTAAAATGATAAACCATCACAAAAAATTTCAATAGCAGTACTTTAATTTGGTACTACTGAAGGTAGTTGAGGGAGGATTTCTAAATGGCTAAATCAATTTGGTCTTTGTGTCTAATTTTTGAAACTGTTTGTTGGTACTGTCAGTCTAACTCTTTACTTTAAATGTTGCTGCATGCCTCTTGCATTCTCCTTGGTTACTGCATGGCTCCTATTATTTACCACAGAGTTACTGTTGAGGGAAAGCTTGCGCTATCATGGAATATTTACGGGAGTGCTGTTCCCTGAGTTAATTCATAGAAGCATTCTTGAAGTCTGATTCCTTAACCTGGTCTTTTCTGCTACTAAAAGAAACAGTCTTCTTTTATTTATATTTTTAGTCAAAACATATGAATTTTAAGCTTGATATTACATATACTGTAGGATGCTCTTACATTTGTAAAACATGCCCTTCGAAATTTAATACACACATTAGTAAGCTACGTTTTACTTAACCCGTTTTGACGAAATGCTTAAACTTTTTGCCCTTCATGCTTGCTTGGTTATTTGTCAATTAGGTAATGCACTCTTTAATCTCATAGTACTGTGTATGACCTCTAATACGTCTTTTTGCTCTTGAAAATTTGCTCTCATTTTGTTCCAATGATGGAGATAAAGAGGCGAACTGGAGTGTTATGCAAGTATACTTTGTGACTAGACTGACCTCCACCATAGTCATCTTTCATGTTCCAGCACTAATAATTAAGTCATCCTGAAGCACAATCTAATTCACTGTGTCATTGTATCTAGTATCTTGAAGATGTGTGTTAACCATATGTAATTTGTTGTGAATTTTTTTTTGTCTCTCAAAGGTTAAACACTGTTATCATTATACAGTTTCTGGCATTTATTACGTGACATAATTTCAATTTCATCATATTATTAAATTATAATCAAAATAAGTGTAGACTGGGAAGAAGCGTCGTATATTCAGATAATTTTAATTGGATTGTGTGACTTCAGGTCTTCCATTGTTACTGAGACTGATGTGCTTGTGAGCAATATTTGTGGTATTGACCTTGCCTGCCATGTAAATCAAACCTAAAGTTGGCCTTAGAAAGTAGAAATCGTCTGTCATATGTCTTTGCTTCTCTCATTTTGGTAAAAAATTTGGTTGATTTATTTTGACTAAACCTTATTTTTATTGAATTTACACTAATCCAGTTCTTGAAATTTTTTATTCATATCACTTTTGGCTGAAAAGTACCCTTTAAAAACCAAAACCTTTAAAAAAAATAAAAAAAAATCAGATCAGTCAAGTATTTTTCCACCAAAGCTCGACTGGATCCTTATATTTATCTTTGAAAAGAGACTAAATCACACCTCACATACTGCACAAATTTATTGTTCTATTTGTTTCTGGCAAGATGTGCTGTTGCTTCTGTTGTCCTTTTCTTTGTTTTGAATATTTGTGTTTACTTACCAAATTTCAATTTTTGCCTTTTAGAAATTGTCTTAAGGTGCACTCAGCAATGTAGGTTTGAAATGTCTTGTTCTAAAATAAAACTTAAACTACCGTCAAGACATAATTTGTGATATACTGGGCAAATATAGAATACCATAGTGTACATACTACTTGAAATCGCCTACCTCCCACCCTTAACTGAATTATTTATCCCATACAACTATGTTTCTAAATTGGTAGGTGTTTAAAACTAATTAGTACTGTGTGCCTGAAGGTTTGGGAATTACATGGTTTGAGGTATGTATTTTCTTGTGTTCTCCTCAAGTTCAGATATGAATGTTAATTGTTTTCTGAGACAAACTGGAACCCTAAGGTTTAAAAATAAATATCTGCCAGTGTGAAGCAGACTCACTTTTTTGTTCTATCCCTGAACTTTGGAGAATTAAATGTCTTTTGTGATGGATCGGGACCAAGGTAATGTATTACCAACTAGCCTATCAGTAGAAAATTTTCTTTTCCCACTTAGCCTAAACATTTTATTTTGTTTCAAAACTCTGTGAGTGCTTTGTTTTAGTTTTTTTTTCATATTAATCTGCCAGGGTAGTTGGAACCCTACCAAATGTGTCTTTATTTCTTTAACTGTATCCAGTTTGCCTCCCCTTTGTATTTTATGAAAACATACTTTCTTTTGTGCTATATGAACAAGATATTTTAATAACACTGCTGACTGCACCTTTCCGTTGTTGGTAATGTGACATTGGCAAAGTCACCAGTGCCAAATTGCTGTGTATATATTCAAGTTAGATTAGAAATAGTATTATATCTCTTCCTCTTAGTTCATAAGAACCGCTCATGCGAATGTTGAAATCATTTTAATATGTCAACAGTAAGTAGGCATTAAAATTTGTAGATAAAATCTATTTATTTTTTGTGATTCATTAGTAGATGCCTTTTCTAATATTACTTCCAGTTATGAGAGACATGCACCCGCCACACAAGAATGTGCAGTTCTACACTGTACAATGTTGGACTTGCAGAACTTGCACAATGTATGACGGATAAAATGTCTGCTGTACTAATGTTTGTTAATAGTGCTGGCTTTGTCATACATATGATGTGATTTTATTGATAATAGGTCAAATGTATTTCTTTTTTTCAATGATCACTTGTTCTTCAATTTGTAAGTAAAGTGTTAAGTCTCTCATATTTACAGAACAGCTTCTCTTGTGTTCATTAGGATCCCTCGCATGATTTGCATAACATGTTATGATTAGAGTTAGGTAAATGGCTAAACCAGATATTAGCAGGCTAAACATAAGATCAGCAACCAGGTTACTTCGTTAATCCTTGGCAAAGCCCTTTTCACCACGGGCTAATCCTATGTTTAGTGGGACACCTAGCTCTAACCACTAACCATGGCACAGATGTAACTATCAAAATCCCCATTTTGCACACAGTATGAAATATTTTTTAACCATTTCCATTTGTAATGAAATGTCTTGAGTTCACAAAAATATGATTCTCTTTCAACTCCCAAAACTTGTGGAGTTGTTGTGCCCGATTAAAGTGATGTGTTGTTCACTAATTTTCTTGTTTTTCATCAAATTCTTTTCTTGTTTGATACCCTTCATCTGTTGCACCTTGCAAATTTATTCTCACATTACAAAAGTGATATATTTTTGTGTTCTGTATGCAGCAATAAGCTTGAACTAATACTTGTCAAATCAGTTTTCAGTATTACTTGCTGCATGATACTTCTAGATTTTCTTTTCAACTTGAGAATGTGCATCAAAGCTGTTGGATCCTTGACCGAACATCTTTAGTATGACTTCACTTTGAAGAGGATACCAAAACAAACATTACTGTACAATACCTTGTTTTCTGAGGGTTTCTAGATGGTAGTCACAATCAGCTACCTTTTACAGAACATTAAAGAGGGACTAATGATTGCTGATTTTTAGTTCTGCATGTATGTCATTTTATTTATGCATGCTCTTTCCTAGATTTTTTTTTTTTTTTTTTGGAGGTTTAACAAGTCCTCTATTTGAAAATTAATGTTAAAGAAAAAGGAATACATATCTTTCATGTGAGTTTCTTCTCTTAGATTTCATTGGATTGCTCTGGCAATTTCTGAGCCTGTGAGCCTACCTGTGCCTATAATTGGGGGACACATACACACACTCCATTATTCTATCTCCTCTTATGTTTTCTTTGGATTGTTTTGAAATGTGTTCTTTTGAATTAGGCGTTTCAGTGCTGGATGTGTATTATGGACCAAAATTTTACTTTCTCATTACTCCAGTTATACTTCGTAACAGATTATGGAATGCAGGTTAGTTATATTTTCACTTTAAATTACCTTGGTGTGTGTGTGTAAGAGAATTTATATTGCCTGGCTTTTTGCTCTTTATACGTATTTTATGTTACCCCATTTTCTCCCAAGACAACTGTTTTTAAATTGTCTGCCAAGGCATATGTAACAAGGATGCAAATAATAATCATAGAAAAGTGCAGTGTTGAGGTTTTATTACACTCCTGCTCAACAGCAACCTTCATTCACACAAACGACTAGAAAAACTGTAATATTCTACTTTGTCTAGTTAGGAAGTACCAAGTACCACCCAACAGTAGGACCTGCCAATATCATACAATAAAAGTAAATATTGATGAAATTTTTGTATACAACATACAGTGGCATTTTAAAACAATAGAGTAGATTAGAGCAATTTGAATCATCTCCATATATTTAAAATTGGCATAAACAAGCAAGTATGTATACTACCAAAATAAGCATTATATTTTATCACATATGACACACTATGCGACATATTTTGAAATCACAGTACAGGAACAATAATTTGATATCAAGGAAGGAAAGTCCTACAATAGTAATTGATTCTCTTTAACAGATAAGCCATCTATCCAAACTTCAAATATACATCTGAGAAAAAAACAATCCTTTTTTGATTGGTTCATAAAATAAATTGTGCATCTAATTCCAGAACAAGTTAGTATACCGATAGAGCATAATCATCTACATTAACAATATCTTGCAGCATGATAAATTTTCTTAATGGAACTGGCAATCCTGAACTTTCGACAGCTTTGAAAATATTTTCACCATGGAGAAAGCGATAACTTAATCTTGCTAACCCTGCCAGTGGCATTGGATTAAACTTCATTGAGGCAATCCATGAAGCTGCTGAATCATCAGAATATTTTTTATCTCTAAGGTCAGGTTTGTGGAAACAATTCCACAAATTCAAACCAGCATTTACCATTAGTTGTGCAATTACCAAACGTTGTGGTCTCTTTTTGAGGTAATCCTCACTTACTATAGGTGTGTGCTGTTGAAGTACATTGACATCAGCTCCATATTGTATAAGAAGTATCATTGCGTGATCTTTATCATGTACAAGTGCACGCACTAAAGGTGTATCGTATGCTGATGAACTCTCTAAGTTTAATAGACCTGAGGGACCACGATGACGTAGCAGAGACAATAGTATTTCCTGCAATGTACGATACTGTGCAGGACGAAGACACTCAATTGCTTCATGGAGGGGGGTACTTCCTGTGAGTCCATTTGGATAACTAGCCATAGCACCTGCAATAGACAGTAAAGTCAGAATTCAACAAGGTAAACAAAAACACTTAATTTTTCTACTACATGGAATTAGGTTTAAACTTCTTTCCTGAACCTTACCATTATACAATAACAAATTGACCATATCAGTTTGTCCTGAACGAGCTGCCAGTATTAGTGGTGTGTCACCACTATCATCTCTCAAGTTCACTATAGAACCCACTGATATGAGAAGTCTTGCAATATCTGGACAACGATGTAGAATTGCACAGTGCAGAAGTCGATCAGAGTGAGTAAGTTTAGCTCCTGCAGTTAGGAGTAAGCTAACAATTTCTTTTTCCTGTTGCCAGACAGCTTGGCAGAGAGGTGTATATCCTGAAGCCAAAAGACATTTACAAGTTACTGTATGAAATTCAAAATTTATAGATAGATAGCAAAAGTTAAGGGAAAGAATTTATAACATATATCAAGTTGAAGTACCTAAAATATCTTCAACATTGACTTTGGCCCCATGAGATATCAAGAGTTTAACCATATCATCAAGTCCCCTTGAGACTGCCAGGTGCAGAGGTGTGCGGTCACTTCTATCAAGAGCATTAACGCTAGCTCCATGCTTAAGGAGAATACTAGCTGTTTCAATAAACCCTCTTGCTGCTGCCATGTGCAATGGCCCTGTGCCATCAATACTTTTACGATTTACTTTTGCTCCACAACTAATGAGTAAAGCAACTGCTTCAGGATTGTCTCTTGCAGCAGCCAAGTGAAGAGGAGTTACATCATCCGAGTCTCCAACGTCAACTGAGCAGCCTGGAAAATTCAAGTATCATTTTAGTTCATAGAACAACAGACCATGGGGTATTAAAACATTAAAAGTAAAAAATGCACCAGCTCTTAGAAGAATGTGCAAAACTTCTATGTAGCCTTGCTCCGCAGCATAATGCATTGCACCCCGACGGTACATGTCTAACTGGTTGACATCAATGTGAAGAGAAGTATTGTCCCGGACTGACCTATCAACTGCACATGACTGTGCAAGGTAATCAGCATACCAACGATACAGGTCAACCCATGAATCGGAAGTTGTTGAATCATCCACAGGACTGTCAAATTCCTCAGGCTGCAATTCACAATCCCACTCTAAATTGTCCATATCATCAGGTGTTACTGGTTCTTTGACACTAACATCACAAAAGTGCCTTCCAGATTCATCCTCTGGTGGAGTTTTTTTTGGAGAATATTCCTTGTGGACCACAATATAATATCCTTGATTAGCTTCTGATTTTCCCCTATCATGCAGTGTTTGTCTTGTCTCTTCTGATCCAGAAACACAACAGTTTTGACTCTGTAAATCGCTGGTAAAAGTGGGATTTTTCATGTCGCTCCTGGTGTTTTTTGCCATATTGTCTTTTTGTCCTTTGCAGTGTCTTTGTTTACTTTTGTGGTTTTCCCTTATGACATCCTGTACCTCATCATCACTACTAATGCCATCCTGTCTATATTCAGAACAAAGAGAAAAATTTACTCCTTGAATGTCATGTTTATGTTTAGTTGGCTTTATCCGTCTATCAAATGTCAGGGTAGCACTTTTACGGGTCTTTGGGGAAGTACCACTACACCAAGAACCTGCTGATTCTCCCTCATGTCTTCTAGATATTTTTTGGGAAGTGTTGATAGTTTCTTGGGCAATAGGATCCAATACAGGTTCCAGGAGCATTCTTAAAATTTCAATATTGCCGAGATGAGCTGCAGTGCCCAATGGAGTTCGACCTGAGGGATGCGTTGAATTCACATTTACTCCTATCAAAAACAAAAATAAAGCACAGTCAGATTGTCTTTAATGGTAAATTATGATTCCAATGACTACATAACTCTCAATGTCAGAATATTAAGTGGCGTAAATTACCTTTTCTCACAAGTCCACGTACAGCTCTTGCATCACCTTGATTTATGGCAATGAAAAGTCTCTCCTCCCAAGACATGTTCCCCGTAGAAGATGACATTGATGGTGTGTCTAGATTACTTGAACAGTCAAGCTTGTTGAAAGTACTCGTCATATCTAAAGCCCTCTTCTCGTGTATCACATATTATTTAACAGGGCATTTGGTTTAACAAGGCATATGGAGACATTAAAATTATAAGTTCTTGAATGTTACAAGACATAAACATAACCTTCGATAGGTCAAAGATGTATAAATATCATACAACCGTGACTTTTCATGGCATATAAATGTGATTTTACTGATTACTGATTACATTTTATCATTCAATTCGATATAAAAACAGACAATACGACAAATTGTTCGTTCAACATCCTAATTCAAAGGATAACAACAGTGCTTCAGGCAGACGATGTGCAGCAGACAGCAGACAGCATTTTGTTTTGTTTGGAGTTCGTTTTACCTTATCCAGCCAACTTGCAAATTGGTATGACAAAATTGTGATAACGTCGATCCGAACTTGTAAACTGAAAAAAGTGAAACAGGCTCAAAAACATTCAAATAATAGTCTTTATCCCTTAAAAAAATTATTTTAAAAATAAATTTTACCATGAAACACTTGTGCATATTTTGACACGTGTAAGCACTTATAGATTATCCAGCTTGGGTCCTCATTACCTTCAGTGGAAAGTTTCATATTTTCTTAAGGTGGGTTACATGTACATTTCAAACATACGTGGTGATCCGCCGAACGCCCTCAAATTTGTTTACCCATTTTTTCTATCCACTGATTTTAAGGCATTTAATGAATTGAACATTCACTTATGTTTATTCTTCACAGTGATACTTTTTAGTCTGCCGTACATTATTTCATTTACTTATTTGGCTGACAATCCAGATTCAGTCAGTACACGTCTTTTTTTGGCTTCATGCCAATAACCTCATCAGATAGCCTTCATGTTTGTTTGGTTTCTGCTGCAGTTTGACGTGGTTTGACCAAGAGAGGACATCGTTACACAATCTTTCTTCCCCCTTCATCTTATTGCCTTTTTCTGGAGAAGTCATGGACTCTAAGTCCAAGTCCAGTCAAGATGATCAAGACTATGTCAAAGTTAATTCAACAGCAATTGTGTTCGATAATGGAAGAGTAAGTATGGATATTAAATGCCTGTTGGGTGGTATTTAAGGCCCCAAATTATCAGAGAATATCTTTTTGATAAACCTAACTATACCATTCAGCCTTTACTATTTGTTATTTTAAATTGTTATAAATTGATTTATGTAGAAGCACATGCACAGTGTACCTGTTGCTTCCTCTAGGGGACACATGGGGTTCGTATTACTGTCGACCTTCTGAGGGGCTTAGAGCCACTCCCATAATCTCATTATACCCCTTCCTGCTCTGCTGGTACACATAGCCCAAAGCGCTGTGGAGCAGTTGGCACAGTTTTGGGGTAGTCTGAGAGTGAAACTGAAGTGTTCATTTTGTTGAGTCAGTCCTCTGTTAACCTCAGGATTATCAACATAGGTGGAAGTATAATCTTAGCGTTTATGATAGAAGTTTGCTGTCCTTTTTTGAGATATGGTATCTGGAGCTTGACCTTTGAAGACTTTTCGTATATAAATTATGAATTACACATTACTTCTGTTGCTTTCTTTGTTTCCCTTCGTAAAGATCCATCTTGCTAGCTAGCAAGTGTTAGTTATGCCTTACTTAAAACCAGATAGTTCAAATAAGGAAAAAGCTAATATTGTCCAATATTTCAAGCTAACCAAAACAGAAGAAAAATTTAGCAACTCTCCCATCATTTTGCAAAGACGCAGTCGAAGTACAGGCCGAGGCCCATTTCTCAACAGAGGGGCAGTTCGTCAGCCTGTCAGAGATAGAAGTGCTGAATCTCATGTACTATACAGAGCTTGTGCCACAGATTCCCACTGCTTGGCTGCTCAGGTATTTACGGATGATCCCGATAAAACTTTGCATTTAAGTACAATTTGTAGTGTATTTCTAAAGATCAAGCAGATTCTAATACTTCCCAGAGGTATCTGCAGATTTTTTTTAGATAGCTTAAGTGAACTATGGTTAAATATAACCAAATTTGTTACTGATTATTTTTGTTATTCCAAATGTTGGAACCATTTCAGTAATTTTATTAGTATACAAGTAACTGACATTTATTTTGTTTGTTTATCACAGCTGAGTTTTGTGGGTCAAGAATGCCACCGTTTGCCATCTGTTCTCCCCAAGCTTTATGGACCTCGAGTGATTTCTCTTGATCTTAGTTACAACTGCCTGACAACATTGGCAGGAGTTGAACAGTTCCCCATCCTAGAAGAGCTTATTCTGGACAACAATCAACTGCCTGACAACACAACATATCCTTCTCTCCCTAATCTTCATACTTTGTCACTAAACAAAAATTGTGTAAGTTATAATTTTAATTAATTTATTGTTTCTATTATATTTATTTGTCATAATACTAAGGTTCATATTCAGATTAATAACTTAGACCTGCTACTGACAAAAGTTAGTCACCAGCTACCTTCGCTGCGGTACTTAAGTTTGCTTGGAAATAAGGCTTGCCCTAATCAACTCTCTGACAAAGATAAAGATGAAGAAGATTATCAGCGATACAGGTATATAACCATGTAGAGCTGGGATAAATTTTCCCTCTGTCATGTAGTGATTACTAACATATTCAGCCCTATTAATTTAAATGTTTGTAGATATTATGTTATTCATCACTTACCAAAGCTGCACTTTCTTGACTCGAGACAAGTCAATGATGTAGAGCGCCAGGAAGCACAACAAAGAGGACAATTCATGCGAATAATGAGACCAGTCAGTACTCATTGTTTTTTCTGTTTTAAAGATTCAGCCTAAAATTAAAACGTCAGTTATTGTTTTATTTTATTGTCTTTCAGTCAAATACTACAAGAACAGAGGAAGAAACATCAACTCAGCATAGTATATATTCACCATTACCAAACAGTGGGAGAGATGGAGGAGACCATCAAGGTGAGCCATAATTAAATGTCAACTGTTTTAAGCGATTTTACCAGCGTTTTTGGTCAATTTCTTTGTTATTTATGTTTTAGGTGCATATGGAAGATGCAGATACAGATATTCAGGAAAACATTCTGAGGGAAATAGATTCATCCAAAACAGCGATTTGTGAGTGTCATCATAGACCTGAGTAAGAAATTTGGGGTTGAGTTTCTCTGTAGCAGTGGATTGAAAGTAAAAGGTGCTTGGGTTTTGATGTCTGGTGAAGTGAGAGATTATAATGTTTATGGAGGGAGCACTTGCAAGGTTGTTCATCATTTTTCATTGTCTTTACCATCCGTATTAGTCTTCTGCATGCTAAATTTTGTCACCTTTTGACTGACTGGTATCAAACAGAAATTTATTGATTTTTAAAACAAACTCAGGTTAATAGTAAGAAAATAGAAAAAGGGTAGCACTGAAAAATAAATCATGTGCTGTATAAAAAGCTCTTATTTTGCTAGGGGATGTGACTGTTAGTGTGCCTTGTGTCACATTATTTTTATTTGTGGC